CACAGTCTAATATGTGCACATCAGCCTGGTATAGCTCTGGGAGCCGAAGGGGCTCGCCACAGAAATGCAAGTGGGCCAACAGCCACACAAGGAAGATCCCCGCCAGGAAAAAAAAAAAAATATCTGCCATCGACCGGGACAGGCACCCAGAAAGGTAAGCGCCACAAAACACACCCCTATTCTGGTTAACAACAAAAATCGACAAACGAGTGGACAGAACTCCCCCAGGAAAACGAACTAACAAGCATGACGTCACGCGAGCCGCGCCGCATGTCTGCGCAGCTCCCCTCTCCCCAAGAGGGGGAAGGGGGAGCCCCAGACCCCCGCACCGGCGATCCCCGCCCCAGTTCTGAGGCTGGATATCAAAACCGCGAAAAAAACCCGCCGACCGGAGGGCGGGAGGGTGCCGGGGAGCCTTCGGGACTCGCCCAGAAAATGGCGTTTCATTACATTCAACGCTGGTTTTCTGGGGGGAGCCCCTACGGCTCCCTGGAGCTACCTCACCAAAGACTACCTAAGAAAACAAGGGGATATACCCGGGAGGCGGTCGGTGAATCACTCCCCAGCACGAAGTCGAGACAATAACCCAAGGTATATCATTCGCCAGAAAAAAGGGAGAACGGCCGCAGATGAAGAAACCTATGATCATGACCATAGGAGCCAAAAACCACTGCGCCTGAGAAGATCAAGTAGCTCTGCCACACGACCCCCAGAGGCGAATGCCAACACAAAAAGAAAACCGAGGCAAAGCAAACCTGACCCCAAGGAGCCACAACCACCAAGGAGAAGAAAAACAGGAGAGCACCCTGTCCAAAGACCAGGACGACACAGGCCGTGCATAAGCAGGCCGGAGGTGTAACAACGCGTGATACAACCTGCGAAACGGCGCAGAAGGAATATCTATACCGAAAGCTAGCAGCAGAAAGCTAGCAGCAGAAACCAAGGTGCCAGACCCAGGAACGGCCCCAAGTGCCTCTACATCCTCCGCAAGCCAATCCTATGACAGCCCCAGGAGGGAAAAGAAAACGCAGGACCAAAACGAAAATGCCACAAGTGTGCAAGTCCACCTCCCCAAGTGCAGCTGACAGGGAAGGAACTCGCATAAGGAGCCGCCCCGCACCAACATCCCGCAGAAGGGCAGTAGCGAAAAGACTCATTAGGAGGAGCAAAATCACTCCCAGGAAAACTAGTAGTGCCGAGACAGTGTGAAGAGAAGAGATATTCACAAAAGAACAAAAAGGCCAACACCCAGAAGCTGCCAGGAAGAGGACCCACAAGCCCTAGAAAGGACCGGAGGGAAGCTCAACCGAATGACGACAGACGCACCAGAACACGGGAAGGAGCAAAACCGTCCCGAACCTTCGAGAACAAAAAGAAGCAAACACAAAGGACGAAGGCCCCAAAACCCCGTCGCACCCAAGACCAAAAGTCAGGCAGAAACCCCAAGAAGAGGGGGACATGACGGAAGAAGGCCCGTCCTGGAAAAAAGGGGTGAAGATCGTAGAAAAGCACCCACCGACAGGACGGAAACAACGGGCACAACGGACAAGGAAACCGAGCCCAGTGAGGGGCCGACGCCCACAAAGCACGTGCGGAGAGGGGGAACGGAAAACCCCACACCACAAAACTGCAAGTCCCCCCCAGAGGGGTAGAAACACCCCGGCGGGGACCAATGGGACCTGAGGCCCCTCACGTGAGCACCACCCCAGCCCCGGGAACCCACCCTGCAGGCCCCGGGGCCGCTCAGTCCCCTCAAAGCCCCAGCGTCAAGAAAAACCCCGGGGCAGCCGTGAAAAACACGAAGGAAGGGAGCCCACTAGGCTCTGGAACTTGAAACGAAACCGGAGGATAGGCGAGGGGCGAGACGAAGACCCCAAGCCCATCCCCAGCCAGCACAATGAGGCAAGGACAAGACAGTGAAACCAAGGAACATGGAAAAACCAGGCCCGGCACAGCAAGACCGGCAAGGAAGGAGAGCCCCAGAGGGAGCACAGAAGGGTCGAACATAACGCCACAACCAACCCCGACACGCAGCTACAGTACCAAAACCGCAGCAAAACGTCACCACACTCCCCGAGGAAGTGACAGAAGAGAGATAAAGCGTACATGAGTGGCACACAAGGGGACACAGGCGGAAACCGAGCACCCAACTGAGCCACAGGGACGGTAGAAGAAACGTGTGCAGTGTAACAGGCTATCAAAGGAACACAGTAGGCCTGTAGAACCGCCACGGAAGGGACAAGAGGCCACCCGCAGACACCCGTGAACCGAGGAAGGAATCAGGTGGAGAAAACAAGAGCTGCCCAGTATGGGCTAATAGCCCTGCAGTAGGCACCTCGGGTGATACTGTCCACGTTCTCAAGTACGTATGTACACCCATTCCTACTCCCAAAAACAAAAACAGCGTCAGGACAAAGGAGACGCCAAAACCGCACCAACTCACCTGCAGAACATAGGCCCTGAAGGGCCATGACGCAAGCGTTCGAGTCCGTATCCGCCGGAGGCGGCCAGTGCGCCCATGCTGGAGAGGAGGGGAGCAGCGAAGGAGGCTCCCCACCCAAGAACGCAGGGAGAAACCTCATGATTTCCCCACAGGGGCACCCCAGAACACCCCCAAAGCAACGGGGCACGGATTGGATTAAGAAAAGAGCGAGAGGCGAAGCCCCCCCCCCCCGAGAAAATTGAAAGCAGAACACGTGTGCACACCGCCTGGAACCAAAAACTCCCACGGCGCATGCGCAGGACGCGAAGTAGCCCAACCAGACGCGAAGTAGCCCAACCAGACGAGAAGTAGCCCAACCAGGCGCGAAGTAGCCCAACAAGGCGAGAAGGAGCCCAACCAGGCGCGAAGTAGCCCAACCAGGCGCGAAGTAGCCCAACAAGGCGAGAAGGAGCCCAACCAGGCGAGAAGTAGCCCAACCACGCGAGAAGTAGCCCAACCAGGCGCGAAGGAGCCCAACAAGGCGCGAAGGAGCCCAACAAGGCGAGAAGGAGCCCAACAAGGCGAGAAGGAGCCCAACAAGGCGAGAAGGAGCCCAACAAGGCGAGAAGGAGCCCAACAAGGCGAGAAGGAGCCCAACAAGGCGAGAAGGAGCCCAACAAGGCGAGAAGGAGCCCAACAAGGCGAGAAGGAGCCCAACAAGGCGAGAAGGAGCCCAACAAGGCGAGAAGGAGCCCAACAAGGCGAGAAGGAGCCCAACAAGGCGAGGAGCCCAACCAGGCGCGAAGTAGCCCAACCAGACGAGAAGTAGCCCAACCAGGCGCGAAGGAGCCCAACAAGGCGAGAAGGAGCCCAACCAGGCGAGAAGGAGCCCAACAAGGCGAGGAGGAGCCCAACAAGGCGAGGAGGAGCCCAACAAGGCGAGAAGGAGCCCAACAAGGCGAGAAGGAGCCCAACAAGGCGAGAAGGAGCCCAACAAGGCGAGAAGTAGCCCAACAAGGCGAGAAGTAGCCCAAACGGCCACAAAGGAGCCCAAACGGCCACAAAGGAGCCCAAACGGCCACAAAGGAGCCCAAACGGCCACAAAGGAGCCCAAACGGCTACAAGGAGCCCAAACGGCTACAAGGAGCCCAACCTGTTCAGAACAGAAGGAATCAGTCTGGAGGCAAACTCCGGGACACGCAGGAGGAAGCCGCAAAGGCCAACCGCACCGCAGGCGAAGAGATGCGGTTAGCCGAAAACCTCCTGAAGACGGAACCGAACCCGGGGAGGAGCAGAACCCAAGCCCAAATCGTACGCAGAGGGGGGAAAAGAAAACCCCACTCCTCGCAACAGTAAGCCCCGCTCAGAAGGACGGAAATCCAGGCGGGGCACAATGGAGCCCAAGGCCCCCAAGGCCGCTCCTCCCCAACCCCAGGAGCCTCCGCACCAGGCCCCGGGGCCGAGTCGACCTCCAAAGCCCCGGCCTCACAAGAAAAAACCGGGGCAGCCGAGAGAGCTGAAAGAGAAGGGGCCCATTGGTCAGACCCCGGAGCATCGGCCGGAGGAACAGACTCGAATGCCTCCGCAGCTACCCTGGACGGGGCAACCCCCGAAACTGCCCAAGTCTCAGAACCTCTAACCCCGCCCCGACCCCGAAGCCTGCAGATGCATAGGGGCCGGAAGCAGGAGGGGAAAAAACAAGGGGGGCATGGAAGGAACCAAGGCTGAAGCGACCAAAACCCCCCCCAAGTCTGGGTCCCTATACAAGCGGGGCAGCATCGGGGCGTCCGGGGAAGCGACAAACCAGAGCACGTTGCAACATCCTACCCAGCAACGCGCGAGCTGCCTGCACCCACGGGAATTCATCAGCAGACTGGGTGAATGGAGTCACGAACAAGCAACAAAGCTCGCAGGACTCAAGGGTCGAATGTGTCACCGACCCAACAGGCAGCATGATGGAGGCAAAAACAAGAAGAGTCACCCAGAGACAAAGGGACAGAGCAACCCTCAACTCACACAAAGTGAGAGGGGACGCAAGGGTCTCCACTACCGGACCCGAGAGCCCCCGGGGGGTTTCCCAGGGCCCCTAGACTGGGTCTGCTAAGGGTTATTCCAGGCAGGGTACTGCTAACCGGCGCCCCAAACTACCAAGCAAACTGCTAAAGCTGAACCCACGGGACGTGTCCACTCGCGAGGGCAAAGCAGGGGGTGCCACCACACAAACAAACCTAATATAAGGGGGGGGGGAACACAAGGCAGACCCCCCTACCTGGCAAAAACAAATAAAAGAAAAAACCACACAAGTGGACAACGTACCCAGAGGGAACAGAGCCGGCCGCTGTCATAGGTGAAAACTAGCTACGCAGTACCCTGCGCCCCACCAGTGCTATAACTACCACTTACCCCAAGGTAAACAAGGGAGTGAAACCCCCAAACTCTCGGGGCGGCCAAACGCCAAGCAGCGAAAAGCCAACAGAGGTAGACCCAAGGTGACTTGTGGAAGGCAACCCCAAGCCCCAAGGGCGGTACTTACAGGGCACTCAGGGAAGGTGACCCTAAGCACATGCAGCTCGAGTACCTGAGAATACTACTCCCAGCTCACACGACCACCGTAAAAGCAGCACTGCAAACAAGTCACAGCACTGAAACAAGACTGGAGCTGGAGCCACACGACCGTGCATTATCCCATCAGCCAAGGAACTGGGGCGGGGATCGCCGGCGCGGGGGTCTGGGGCTCCCCCTTCCCCCTCCTGGGGAGGGGAGGGGAGGCTCGCGTGACGTCATGCTTGTTAGTTCGTTTTCCTGGGGGAGTTCTGTCCACTCGTTTGTCGATTTTTGTTGTTAACCAGAATAGGGGTTTGTTTTGTGGTGCTTACCTTTTTGGGTGCCTGTCCCGGTCGATGGCAGATATAGAATGCTCCAAATCACATGTGCATTTCTATGGGCCAATGCTCCCCGTGCCTCTCTGAGGGGGCCAGGTTCTGGCTCGTGGTCCCCGGTAGGTCTAGAACTCCACCTACATCGACTGATGCAAAATAGTTAGGGTATCCATATCAGCCATGGATAGCTCCAGGGAGCCGACGGGGCTCCCCCCAGAAAAGTACAACGTTCCCAGGGGAACAGAACCAGCCACTATGCATATATCAGACAGCTGCATAGTACCTTGTGCCCCAGCCAGCGATGATACTCTCTCCTACCAAAGGGCAAACAGAGGCAGGAACAACCCCAACTGACCCCAAGGACAGGCAATCACTGAGCAGCAAAAGAACCCTGCAGAGGTAGTTCCCAAACGGCTTGTGGTAGATAACCCTAAACCGCAATGGCAGTAGTTACAGGGCACCTGGGGGAAGAGGACCCTAGGCACATGCAGCCCCAGTACAGTACTTCTGGAATTATTCCTGGCTCATACACCACCACATCGCAGCACACCACCACAAGGCACAGCACTGCTCAAGGATTGCAGCCAGAGTCAATCGATCACCACCCAACGCCACAGAACTGGGATTGGGTAGCTGGCACGGGAGGTTCGGGATCCCTTCCCCTTCCCCCTTGTGCAGTTGCGCAGACAGCGGCGCGGTGGCTGTGGTGACTAAATGCTTGTTTGTTTGTTTGTTTATTTTCTGATTGGGAAGTTCTGCTTGCTTGTTCAGCTTTCGGTTAGCAATTTTTCACTGGCTGTAGTTTGTTTTGGGATTCCTACCGTTCTGGGTGACTGACTTGGTAGATGGCAGATACAGACTGCTTCCTACTACAGGCAACTGGTGATATGTCTCGAACAAATTTACCAGCAATCTTATCATTTTCTTCCAGATCTGGGGCGAGGGGTGTCAACTGTAATGGTGGAGACAGAATCTCTAACTCTTCTGTTTAGCTGTATGGATGGCTTTACGGGCCACCGCACTCACCTTTCAAAACAAAATGAAAGATTCAGGAGTCAGTCGGTATCAATGTCTTTTCCAGGCTGCATGCTTACA